TAACAAAAACATTTACAAATAATGATGTGAAATGAAAGTCAAAATCGCCTTGCATTCTTGCTCGATAGCACAGAACAACGATAATGTTAGTAGTGGCGGTATGAATTCTGAAAATAAATAAAAAATAATATATTTGGGATGACATAACATTAAAAGTAACAATCCTGATAACAGCTAGAGTGATAACTTTCCGAAAGAGTTTCCTAACTGATTTTTTCATCCCAATTCCGTCCTTATAAACTGCTACCTCCTCCGAATGTAATCTGCTGTCTACTCACTCTGATTTGAGACACGATTCGTATCTCAAAAATATTTTAGTCACTTTACATTTTTCTCAACAACACCGTTATGATGCTCGAATTCCAGGAAAGCAGCGAGTCTTCACATGCAAATAACAGATTAAAAAATTTGAGAAAGTACCAAGATTTGAGTTATGGAGGTGATAAAAATTTCAGGAGAAAGCTTTCTATAAGGAACGATGTAGCGAATGTCTTCGGGCGTTGCTGGCGTGGAATTACGTTATCGAATTGCACGATCACGATGCGGCGGATAAAGCTGCGAATAATCATACTTCATCTGGGACATCGAGTATGCACAGCCAAAAAACAAATTCATGACAAAATTTTGATAATCACTTCCGATAACAACCAAATTTCATTCTACATTTTCTTCACTACGCTTCTTAATAGCAACAAAAGTGATTAAGAACGGTTAAATTTACGAATCCAATTCGAAATCATTTTCAGTTGAGAACTTCAATCCACGACCGTTCGATTTGTCCACAATGACACTCGAGAAAGACATGACCGCAGCAGCCGAGAAAATGGCCGAGCACTCACATAACGTTTGGGCTAAAAAGGTTTCCACGTTTCTTTCATCAATTTTTTTGGTCGTTTTCGCTTTTCACTTTTTTTTCTGCAAACGGAATCACTCTTTGAAGGCAATTCTGAATTGTTACTGTGCATTCTTTTGAAAAGATTCGTAAATGCGTTTGATTGTCATTTCTTTTCTATTTGATTGCAAAGAAGATGTTGTTATGGAGCACATTTTGGATTTTTGGTTCGCACGCTCAATCGTTGAGCGTTGATGACGTTTAATTGAAGGTATTCAATGATTTGGCAACAAAAGGCGGCAATATGCCTATTCCGCTGGTACCATGGGATTTGCTGACAGATTTTGAACGACGTAAAGATCGTTTTCGAGCTGCGGAAATCCTGAAATTCCTTCAATATCACGGCTATCGCGTTTGCTGGTAAGTGCGTTTTCTAACCGTAACTATCAGAAACATTCAGTGAGCAACTTAGGGTTCTGTAGATCAGCGGCATCGCCACCAAATCCTACCTATGAACATCTCCGTGTACCGATCGAAACATTGGAAACTGACTTATATAGGTTAACCGTATCTGATATCAAAAACTCGGTATCCGAACCTAGAAATGAGTCATTCACTTGTTACTCTCACGAAAATGTTCTGCTTGAGATGAGATGTATTCCTCTTATATTCCTCAAAAGTTGCTACGATTGATTGTATAAAAAGAGATTTTTTAGAAAAATACCTGGTATTTTTCCGTGTTCTAGCATCGCAGTAATGCTTTCAAGCTTCACGCATATCCAATCCACTATAACGATAATCAATGAAATGCTTCTTGCGTGCTTTTCCATATTTCTTCCTTAAATTTCAAGCAGTTCGCTCGTGCTTTTCAGTATATTTTTCCGCTGGCAATCCAGTTATATATCTGCTTTCCGTGCAGAAGTTTTTCAATTTACTATCACTCAATCTATGTTTCTATCATTTTATGTCATAATACCTTTCCGAATGGGATTTTGCTTCTTCATATTGCAACTTAATTATTCGCTTGTTGTAGAGCAAACAAGCTAGCGCTGTTTGTGTTTGAAAATCTAGCAATTGTGTGTAGTTATTAAGATTCGCATTGAATTGCTTTCAAATGTAGTTATTTTCGTGTGATAATCCACGCATC